GTTCCTGAAATGCAGAACCGCAGATTTCCAGACAATATGACGGCAGCTAGAATTCCTGTAGCAGCAAATCCCCAAACCACAACATATGCAGCAGGAACGAATTGCCGTTGGCTGATTAGCATACATGTATCTGTGTATGTATGTATGTATGTATGTATGTATGTATGTATGTATGTATGTATGTATATATATAATATTACATATATAAGTGTGTGTGTATATATATATATATATATGTATATACTCTTCTTAAATTTGCCAAGAACCTCGTGGGACTCTGCAGTCTACCGTATAGTATAGTATCAGCTCTCTAAGACTGGAGATTTGAGCTGACCCTTCACTTTTCGATATTTCGGAAGAGTAGGGGGAGGGGTGGTCAAATGGAATATTCTGGTGTCTAGGGTAGCTTAAAGAGCTAAGTTTAGCCTGCTTTTTTTCCTGGAGGCGTTGCGGAAGGAAGTGGTCTGGACCGCCAGAGTACTGCCGGTTCTGTAGCCCGTTACTGTGAGACTGTTATTTCTCAGAGCTTGTTTTGCCCGTCCCCACTGTATCAGAAGAACCAACATAACAGGTCCATCGTCGGAGGCCGTTGCGTGGACCCTAAGCCCTATAAGTCCCTAAACCCTAAACCCAAAGTCCCTAAACCCTAAGTCCCTAAACCCTAAACTCCAGACTTGTATCCAAGTCACCGATGCATCCCTGCACGAAGGCTCGATTGTTGGACCACCGACCTCCAGAACGCAAGCCCGAATACCCCTAAACCCTATAATAAACCCTAAGCCCTAAACCCTATAAGCCCTAAACCCTAAACCCAAGCCCCATAATCTCTAAAGGCCCAAGCCTAAACTTAGAGTCCCAAACCATGGGCCCTGAACTGTGAACTTCAGTGCAAAGCTTCGAATCGTAAACCCCGAAGCCTGACCCGTCAACCAGGGCCCATCAGTGTTAGCAGTTCTTGCAGGTTTCCAAGGTCATATTGGGTATCTGCTCAGAGTATGCTGACTGACTTTAATGAGATGTCTGAAGCCCTAAACCCTAAACCCTGAACCCTATGAACTTGATGTGACTTCCCAGGCAAAACCACGATGGCGAAGTCAGCAGCAGAGCCTTGGACGCAGGCTATGCAATGGCTATAGCACCCCGAATAGACCGCTCTACCCCCAAGCAGTGAATGCTGAGCCCTAAACCCTAAACCCTACACCCTACACCCTTAACCCTAAGCCCTAAACCCTCAACCCTAAACCCTAAACCCTAACCCTCTACACCCTCACCCCTAAACTCATAGCCCCCGCAGTCTGAAACCCGAAACCCTTCCTGCGACTCGCAGTGTTCATCAACCCTAAACCCTACTTGGAGGCCCAGGGGACTTAGTAAGTCGGTTATAAGTAAGGTTATAACTGGGGTAACTCCATTTAGGGCACTTATAACTCTACTTATCACCTACTTACTAAGTCCTCCGACCCTCCAAGCAAGGGTCCCTAATTAGGGGATCTGTTTTTTTAGATCCTNNGGGCTAGGATAGAGATCGTGACCACACAAAAATTCCTATCGCCCTATTTAAAGATTCAGGCCTTATCGCAGGATGTCTTCATACTTATAATATAACCCTCAGTACGCGAGGGGGGCTTAAAAGTCAGGGATCGACATACCCCGTGACCCTAAAACCCCAGAGCCCTAAGGCCATAATCCCAAAGGCTCCATGTACCTGTATATAGTAGATACTTAGGCCTTAAAGGGGTCCCTATATAGGTACTTTAAATAAGGCCTAAGTATCTACTATAAAGGTCCATGGAGCCTTAGGGAATAGGCCTTAACTCGGAGGACACAGCGAAAACGACGACACCCGGGCCTGGCTGGGATTGGCGTGCCGTGAGCTGCAAAAAGTGTTTCGTGGTCGAACTGAGGATTCTGGGGGCTGCAAAGTTTAGGGTTTAGGGTTTAGGGGTTTAGGGTTTAGGGTTTAGGGTTTAGGGATTAGGGGTTTAGGGTTTAGGGTTTTAGGTACACCCATCGATTCCGCGGTCATGCATGGGCGTGCGCGTGTACACACACACACATGAATATATATATATATATATGTATGTATGTATGTGTATGTATTTGGAGAGTTGGTCATAGATTTAGACGTCTTGTAGTATTCGTGCGGCCGTCGTGAGGAACCGGACCAAATGCAATTCAGGGTCTTCGTTCACAGGGACTGATGTAGGGGCCTTAATAACCTTAATAATCGGAATTTGGTGTTGGGGTCCATTATACCATATTTATAATCAGGAACCCCCAAATAATATACGTAACTATTAATCTACAATAAGGAACCCCCAAAATCATGTAGGTAATTGTTTAGGCCTATATCATCTGGTTTGGCAGGCCGAAGGTCGCAAGCATGCTGCGCGAGTTTTGCACGAAGCCCCGAAGCCTTTTCTAAAGCCCGACAGCCCAAGATGCGGAGGTTGGGGTTTGGGGCTTAGGGTTTAGGGGTTTAGTGTTTAGGGTTTAGGGGTTTAGGGTTTGGGGTTTGGGGTCTAGTGTTTAGGGTGCACCCCCGAATCCCCGAACACAACGAAGCCCTGAATCCCCGAAGCCCCAAACACGCCAAAACCACCGGGGTCGCAAGACAAAAACAAAGCGCAGCTGGGACGAAGACCAAAAAGATGGCTTCGAAGAACGGCACTGACTAGAAGCATGACATGCAGGGTTTAGGGTGTAAAGCTTTGGGTCAAGGACTTTGGGTGTAGGGTACCGAGTATTCAGGGTTTAGGGCCTAGGTTTCGAGGTTTAGGACCGTGTGAAAAGCGCGTTTCTTCAGGAGCCAAGACATCTGGGACACCTGGTGCGCCTCACATGGAGTTCCTTGGGCAGCCGTAGTTGAAGGGTTTAGGGTTTCGGGTTTAGGCGGGCTTATAGGGTTTGGGGTTTAGGGTTTGTAGGGCTTAGGGTTCAGGGTTACGATAACGGATACTAGAAGGGCTTATTAGTAGCAGGGCTACTTTATAATGGAGACCTTACGGGACGCTCTAAGGGATACTATAAGAGCTTCTGTAGTGGATACTGAAAGGATTACTTTTATGGTTACTATAACTTTATACCGGATACTAGGATTACGTTTATGGTTACTATAACTTTATAACGGATACTAGGATTACGTTTATGGTTACTATAACTTTACATAATGGATACTAGACAAGGCTTTTTTTTATAGAAGCCTGAGGAATTATCAGGGCCGCGTGGATCAGGGCAAGAGTTTGTCGGAGCGTGGGTTGCCCCATACACCGGCGGTTCGCAGAGAGGACCGCAGGTTAGCAGAAGGAGAGGCCGAATATGGGGGCCTTAATAGTTAGAATAGGGTTTTGGGGTTCCTTTAAAGGGTTTCTTAAAGGGTTCTATAAGGGCGAATATAAGGGTTTAGGGTTTAGGGGCCTTAATAATGAGAATAGGGTTTTGGGGTATAGTAGACTAAAAATATAATAAGGAAGCCCCAAAATAGCATTGGTAATTTTTTAGACCCCTATATTATAGTCACGCCGCATCAAGCCGTGATGATTAGTCTCAGCTGGTGTCTTATGTGAGAGCATTCACCTACAGAGTGCTGTGGCCACAAACCGGCGTCATGCCATATTCCCGGGCTTGGTGTAGGTAAGAACACCGTGCCCATGGCCCCAACATGCTCGTGTAACGATGGGTATGTGAATCTGTATGTGGGTAGTTCTCTAAATTAGGGTCCCTTTTTGGGTCCCCATTATAATACGGCATCCTTATAAAAAGGACCCCCCAGGGACCCTAATTTAGAGAACTACTACCCATGTATCTATCTATGCATGAAACAGGAAACCCTCAAGACCAAGCCCTAAACGTTCAACGCCCGCAGCTCCAAACCTTAATTACGCCGTTACCCGATGTCACAGAACCCTGAGCTCTTCTAGCGGCCCATTATAGCAAGATGTAGCAATATAAGGGCCTAAATAAAATAATTACCCATATTAGTTTGGGGCTTCCTTATTATAGTTATAGTATACCATACCCCAAAAACCTTCTGCTAATTATTAAGGCCCCTACATTAAATACAAGAGATTCCTCACCTTCTAACGGCTGTACTTATCAAGCAGGGCTGTGGCAGGAGAAGGCTGGGCAGAAAGCCAATGTGTTAGATGTGCGGGTCCATCCTAAACTGCCCAAAGCAGCACATCTTGAAATCTCTTCATTAGTCGCTTAGCTTAAGACATATACACAAGCGACTACAGCGACTGCACTGGACACACGCACACACAGAGACAGGCTTACACACACACACACAACATCAGGGCTTGTCTAGATTTGCCTGCTAACCTTTGCAAGCGATGTAGACTTACAGTATTTCTTTTACACATGTACGTGTACATATATATATATATATATATATATATTTGTCTGTGTAGTATGTATTTTTACGCTCGAAGCCAACGCGACACCCTGAGAGCTCAGCATTTGCAGGGCTCCGTACGACGCGGCAAGAAGCCACTTTGCTGTAAGATACTGGGTTTCTGAGTTTAGGGTTGGACTGCGGTGGTTTCGGGAGCAGAGGCATGATAACAAGACTGCGCTTCGCAGGACAGCTCAGTTTTGGGTGTTCGAACTGTTTACGGTTTGGGATTCATTAACTCGGGCTTGTGTATCGGGCTACGCTCTAGTAACTCGGGCTTGTGTATCGGGCTGCGCTCTAGTGGGGCTTAGCGCGAAGAGGTTTGGAGTTCGGATCAGTCCCACTCGTTTGTGCCATTGTGCAGGAAAGCACGTCAGTCATAGCATACCAGGTCCAGCCATGCAACACACCATCGTCTGATATCGTCTGTTGGACTCGTGTCTAGATCCCAGGTTGAGGCTGCATGACAGCATGCTGTACGAAAAGTGACCTGGACCCTAAACCCTAAACCCTAACAAATAAACCCTAAACCCTAAACCCTAAAAGGGGCTCAAAAGAAACCCTAAAGAATAAACCATAAACCCTAAACATGGGGAGGTCGAAGATGGCCATGAAAGATGCAACCTATGCCTTCCAGAAGGATGCATATGCCGACTTGGAGTTCACCAACGACGTCGGCTACCTGCCGGATGGCACCCCGCTTAACAAAGCGGGTAACGCCGTCAACCACCCGGAGACGATCGGCGCGGACAAACACGTTGCTGGATCTCCGCTTCCCCGCGCCAAGTTCGTGAACTCGGTGGGCTACCTCCCAGATGGCACTCCTATGAACGCAGCTGGCAATGCCATCAACCACCCAGAGACGATGCAGCCGGACCCTCACATGGCCGGCTCGCCCTTGCCACCTTCATCGTATGCTGCCGATGTGGGCTACTTGGTTGATGGAACTCCCTTGGACACCGCCGGCAACAACTCCGTCAAGGGTGCGCCTGCCACCCCACCACCTGCAGCTGCAGCTGCATTCGTGGGCTCCAGTGCTCCAGCCGCACCCATGGCTGCATCGGCACCCCCTCCGGCAGCAGCCCCAACCAGCCCAGGAACCGCCATGCACGGCCGCAAGTTCGAGTACAGCTTCCAGAAGGACGCGTATGCCGACCAGGAGTTCTGCAACGATGTGGGCTACCTCCCAGA